TGGCGGCTGCGGCTGCGCACGGCCTGGGGGGGAGGCGTCCCGGGGGGGCACGACGATGCTGGGTTGGCAACAGCACGGGGAAAAAGGTAGGAAGACCCCGGGGCTGGAGCTGTCCTTGGCAAGTTGGTCTCAGACCCAGATCCAAACCTTCACCCAAATTGCATTTGTTTGTTTTTTTTCCATTGGCCTCCTGAGAAGTGGAGACAATCGCAAACAAAAATCCAGCTTCTCCAAAAATCAAGTGTGTTTGCGACTTGGATTCCGGTTTGAACCTTACTGTCACAGTAAATGTGCTGAATGATGTCCTTATGTTGTCTACACGCAGCACATATGTTTAAAATAAGAATTAAAAAGGAAAATATTTTATAAACGTCATCTAAAGTTTCCGGAGAGCAACTATTAAAGCCAAAAACTCAGGTGGTAGCTCAGCACATGGCAAAGTGCCAGGATTGTGCCTTTGGCCCAATGGAAGTTTGTTCTGATAATATATTATCCTCTAGAAAAACAATTGATTACGACAGAACAGTGAAACATCCTCTTTATTTTTCTGTTAAGGAAATATGTGCATTTATATAACTTGTTCCGTTCACATGAGAGAGACCCAAATAAGCTACTACACCTTCTGTCACCCCAGCGTGAGGTAACAAAAACAGAGGTAGGCACAGGGCACGAAATTTTCCCCAAGCTCTCAGAGCTCCGTGCTGTCTTTAGGAGTCTAAAGATGGGAGCTTTGACCTGCCAGAAATGCCAGGGAAAGCAGATTCAGAGCATCCTGGTGTAGGGGTGTCTCGTGTTAACTCAGTTGCCTGACCAGATTCCAGAAACTGTGGTCAGAGGTAGCCTCAACACCTTTTGCATCTTCCATGCGAGGTTGTGTTTTGTCTCCTGGCCTCCTTTAAGCTGCTGGATGTTGCTGACGTGATGGGTGCTGTCTGTCAGCCCTCCTGGTTGCGCTATCAAAGGAGACAAGGGAACCTGGTATACGGTTTGCATGTCAATGCAGGTTTGAAATAACACCTAGGAGTCTTGGAGATTAAAGACCTTACATAGATGTGAGATTATGTTGCTGGAATGATTAATTCCATGGTTGAAGGTTGTAACAGTTCCTTGAAGGCTGCAAAAATGAGGCAAATTGGTCACCTTGAAATAATGCGTTTACCTGTGGTCACTTTGCAGTTCTGCATCTGGTTGGAACAGCTTAAATAGGTGATTTTTTTAATGAAGTTTGTTTTAAAAAAAAATAAATAATAATCCCAGCATTGCTTTTTATGGTTATTTCCAACATGTGCAGGACTGTATCATGGCAGAGTGATGGATCGTGAGCAACTCACATTCTGTTCCATATCAGTGATCTTACACAGTAGGCAATCCACAGGTAATCCGTCATATTCAGGAAAAACAAAATGAGGGCCATGCAGATACCCCCAAAGGTTACAGAGTGTGTTCAAAATTCACTTTGATGATAGTGAAACACAGTGTAAAAAGGTCCCACTGGACACACCACCGTGTAGAGGACAGGATGCTGAAACCCACTGGAGTCAGAAAACCTCGCCGGTCCCATAGGGAGCTCTGCCAGAAGAAGTTGCCTTGTGTGAGAAGGGGTTTGACTATTTCAATTTATTTGATTGCATTGAATTTTTATTCTTTGTGCGCCCTCAGCCTAAAGGCAGAAGCGTGGGGAGGGAGAAATTTATTTTTTGGTTGCTGACTGGTGTGACATGCCCCACATCGGTCCCTGGCTCCAATCGGAGCTCGTGGCTGTTGGAGATTTAGTGCCTGCTAGGCTGATGTCAGGCTGGTGTAATCTGGAACTTAATAGCCGAGGTTATCAAATTGCAGCTCTTGAATACTTAAACTCTTAAATATCTAGAAGGCATTTAACAGGCCATTAAATATTTTATTGACAAGATTCATCTATATTTGCCGTTTTCAGCCCCCTCATTAGCAATGCTTGTGCATGATACTGCCAGGTGCAGTAAATCCCACCTCTCTTTGCCCAGCATAAATCAATCAAGTCAGTGACAGCATTTGCTGGGACTCCTTCCTTGCAGAATTTGCCGGGATAATTCAGTCCCCGTTGGGGAGGAGAGCCTGCGGTGGTGTCACAGGCTTCTGCCATCAGCCTCACCGAGCTCCACCAGTGCAGCAAGAGCTTTCCTAAAAGTATATGTGTTTTTGGAAGAGCCTTGCGTCGGGGAGGAGGATGCTGTGGGCTGTTTCTCTTTCATAAGCCGTCACCGCTATAGCGAAGATCCTAGGAAAAAGCAGCGAACGCCTGATGGGTTATTCAGCCCATCGCTAGGATCTCTGGGCTCCGGGCGCCATCATGTGTCGGAGCCGTGGCTGTGGCTGCCTTCAGCTTCCATAGTCATATTTTTAATTCAGAGACCTGAAGTGTTAGGGAGACCTTAGTGACACCTTAGGTGTTTAACGAGCAAAACCAGTTAAGTTGAAATGAAGTGCAGCTGTCCCAGCCAGGTGCTTGTGTGGAAGCTCGCCACCCTTGGAAGAGTTAATGTGAAATAAGTTGTGTTAACTGAACCCTGTTATTCATGTCCCGTGTTCACTGAAAAAGCAGAAACTCTGGCAGGTTTCCAGTCCATTTACCCTCTTTTCTTTCCCTTCTTTCTTCTTTTCCTGCCTCTTGCATCTTCCCCACATTTGCTTTCCCCTGATCTCTGATGATGCCCCTTCCTTTCTGTTCTCTCCGAGCAGTCCTTCCGTGCATCTCCAACCTGTCATCCTCACGTTCACTCCGCCGCTCGTGTGTTCATCGATTTTGCGTTTGTGTTCAGCTGGGGCTGATCCGATGCGCTTCTCTTTCAGCCTACATGAAACGGCGGCACAGCTCCGTTAGCGACAGTCAGCCTTGCGAGCCCTCGTCCGCTGGGATAGACTACAGCCAGGGAGCCAGCCCGCAGCCGCAGCACCAGCTGAAGAAGCCCCGGGTGGTGCTGGCACCGGAAGAGAAAGAAGCTCTGAAACGAGCCTACCAGCAAAAGCCATACCCATCACCAAAAACCATTGAGGAACTCGCTACGCAGCTCAACTTGAAGACCAGCACCGTGATCAACTGGTTCCACAATTACAGGTACGAGATGTCCCAGGAGCCCTGCCCGTAAAGGCTTTGTTTGGTTTGCTTTGGCAGGGTGCAGGGTGCTGCTCTGCCTCAGCAGACTGCGTCTGCCTCCGCCAGCGTTGGGCGGTTGTACAAAACGAGCCGTTTGGGCAGCAGGGAGGTTCTAACGAACTGATGCCAATGCTCCCGACTCATTGTAAGTCATCCCCGAGGAACAGCAATATTCACGTATTGGTGTAAGTAGTGCTTTTGAACAGAAGGTCTCAATTTTGGGGTGGGCGTGGATTTAGAGATGTCCACTACTGAATATTTATAAATCCCATTGCAGTAAGCAAGACTGGTTTTTCATACTTGCGTGTGCACGCTCACACAGACGTTTACTCGCAGATGTGTACACACGTGTAGGTGTGTGTTGTGTGTGTGTTACGCCTGGATCACTGCGGGGGGGGGCTCCTTGGCGGTGTCCTCTACTGGATGGCATCAGAACTGCACTGGTTTCATCAAGTGATTTTCCCACATAAGAGCAAAAAGGGGATTTTCTTTTAAGTCTTGAGTCACTGAGCTCTGAAAATAGGCACCGTGTGTGCTGTATTTCTGGGAAGCTCCGCGCAGTCAGGAAGGACAGAGAACCGATAACCCTGAAGTCAGATGTGGCTGCAGATTTATTTCATTGTTATGATTAAATCATTGAGTCCCACTGAAATGAAATAAGATGTTGATCCGTTTAGTTCCTTTCCCGTATTAGAAGGAACCTTCTCTACATTTGAACCATTGAAGTAGGTTTTGGCCTAGAGGCACCGATAAACAATGCTGGAGTGGCATATAAAAGTTACAAGGATTTGAATAAACATATTATCCACTGTGCTTGAGATTGGGAATCTTAATTAGTGCAGCAGACTTTTCTCCAAGAAATTTGTGCTAATGAATATTGAACAGGTACAGTTAAGATACCAGATTTAGTACTATTCTGCTCCTTCACTCAAAGCCAGTAACGTTCCTAATTAGTCCAGATTGCTGAACTTGTTTGTTTTTAGAAACTGCTAACCGTTAAAGGGTATTTTCCACTTTGGTCCTTCTCTGCTTTTAACAGGGAAGTTGCTGAAGCAGAAGCAGCGCAGTTTAATGATACATCTCAGAGATATTATGCACAATAGTTAAATAATGTTTACAGCAATCAATATAAAGTTTAAAAATTTAAAAATTATAACCGACGAGTAATCATATTTACACTGAATTTCATTTACTTGAATTCGCTACAGATGCAGCCTCTTTCATTGCTCAGAGTTCTCCAAACGCAGGCCTCTCTTCCAATTCCCACTTCTAGGCAATTATACACAAGTTGGAGGAATGCCTATGAAAACATGTTCCCTTCGCCCTGACAGCAAAATGTGCTGTTCTCACTTACGCAGACGAGTGCAGGAGCACTGGTGGCATGTGTCATCTTCCTCATTATCATGAGATCTCCTGTTTGGCGTGCTGCGAGAAAGCGTGACAAGTCATGATTGATCAGCGTGTTTAGCCACACCAAGCTCTACACTAATGTAGACTAGGTGCTGACAGTTGTATACAAAATAAAAAAATGTATAAACAAGGTGCTGTAGGCTGGTGGGTAGCACAAGCCTCACAGCGCTGAGTGATCTGGACCTGCTCCCAGATGTGCTGCTGAGTCTCCAGCACTTCAAAAAAGACGTTTCAAGCCTGTCTGGAGCCCAGGGTGCTCCGAGTGGTTGCCACCACCACTGAAAAATGAAAACACGTGCCTGTTCTTTTTCTCGGTACAATAATTTTCTTAGCTTTCGTGCATGAAGTACTCTTAAATCATTTGCAGGACATTGCAGAAGAGGTACAAGTTACATGTTCTGCTAGGAGAACAGGGGCTGACTGTTCTGCAGCTCATGTATTGTAAGAAATGGGTGATCTTTCCCCTCCTCGTCTTCTCCAGGCTACATTTAACTTTATCTCTTTAATGTTCTTCCTCAGCCATTTCTTTTCCAAACTGAAGAGTCTTCATGCAGAAGCAGTTCCACATCTCAGACCATCTAATTATTCTTTAATATAAACTTTTCTTTAAAGTAACTTCAGGTAAGGCAGGGTACAGATTTGGACAAGTTTGTCGTGCTATCTCCCTGGGAATCCTGCTGCAGTAATGCTTTTCCTTTAGAATTCAGCCCAAACCTCACTTTCCGAAGGTGATTGCTACAGCAGAATCTACCTTTATATCCACCAGATGGGATACTTTGCATTAGTGAAACACCTACAGGATCCATCAGAGTTTGAGACTCTGTTGTCTTAAGAGTGGTACAAAAGAGTAGGAGGTAGGGATTTCTATCCCAGTTCACATGTGGAAACCGGCACGGAAAATGGGTATCACAGAGGTGGTACTACAGAAGCATCAGGAATTAAACCAAACTTTCTTGAATTGTAATCTAGTGCTCTTGAATCCTACATTTCATTGCTCTTACTGTGGGCATGTTTTTTCAGCGAACATACATTGTGCTTGTCTAGATGAGTTCCTGGAGTTGCGCGAAGGCTCGTACAAGGAACTTCAACATATACCCCAGGAGATCTCTGATATTTGGAGTTATGCTGATGAATGCCAGCAGGATGTGTTGATGTCGAGGCCAACACCTTCCACCAGGAAGAATGCTCTCTGGAATTTCCTGACTGCTGTCACCAGTTCTTCTTTACCATAGGGATTTAATTACTATGTTAATATGGAGCCAGACTAGATTCCAGCAGCAATATATTGGGTGTGAATTCCAGGGATTGCCACAGACATCGAACCTGTATTCTGTAGGGCCGTGGTCGGGTACTCAGTGAGCATGTCATCATTCAGTGTCTTGCTGGAGCTGCGGTATTTTAAATGCCATGCAGGCACAAAGCTCTTACCTGTCTCCTCTCCTGACTTGGGGAATGTTACAGAAGCAGCATGTTGTGGATCAATGTCCATGCAGGGAGATTATAGGCATAAATAGAGCCTGATAATCGATGTTGCAGGATGCATGCAATTAATGGTAATAGAAAATTAATGTTAGCACCTGTGGTCTTCTATTAGGTGAATAATATTCTCCTAGGGAAAATTACAGACCCCTAAATCCTTCAAAAGTGTAGAGTCAGCAAGTACTGCTGAAATACTCTGTTGCATTTCAAGTAAGTCAATAATATCATTAGCTTCAAAAGCAGTATTCAGATGGTGTTCTGCATTTATCCTATTTTTTTTTTCCATTGTGTGCTGTCTTCCGTAGCACATTTAGTGAAAAATGAAAAGTTCATACAGCCATCAGCTCTGGGACAGCATTTCACTGATTTGCAAGACCCTTAGCGGTTCTCCTTGACTAAAACTAAAAGTGTTGTCTTCACCCTGAAAGATCGAGTTCTGCTAAACTGTCCCTGTGTCTATAGTCTCATCCCTGATGGCGGGTCATTGAGACTCCTTCTTGGTTGCAAATTAGGACCTGAACAGTGGTCATAACCTCTCCTACTGACAGAGCAGTGCAGAGAAAGGGTTAACCTAGACCCAAAGACTTTTTCATAAACTGTTCTGTACTTGTGAGGATATTGAGAGCTCCTAAACAGAGAAGGAAGAGGGAGGAAGGACCAAGTTAAATGGCAAAGGTAGTGTGTTTGGGGTATTGCTGCACGCTTCAAGTCCTGGGAGGTGCAAGGTGGCACACCAGGCAATTTTAACCACACATGGAGTGCATTAATTCCCTTGGAATGCACTGCTTGCCTTGTCACTATTCATGTTCTGAAATCGATTTTTTAAATAAAAAATGAGGCAGAAGTCAGACTAGCTCATAGACTGACAACCTGTCAAAAGGCTGTGCTTCCCCGCAGCGGCTTCAGAACAAAAGACTTTGTTTCGTCTTCATTTCTTCTTGGCGTCCGGAACACCAAGGGAGTTGTCCAGATTTTTTCCTTGTTTTTCGTTTAGGCAAACTGTGGCTGATTTCTAGTAGAAACCTGAATTGTTCTGTATTTACAAGCTGTTTTCTTCTGGATCTACTAGAAATATATTCAGATTTTTTTACATCATCCTTTTTCTGGTCCCATTTATTGTAAAGTTTCATCATCCTGGTGTCAGACTTTTAGTGGGAATGAGAGGCTGCGGAACCTTTCATCTCTGTCCTTTAAACCACGTCCAGCACTGTAAAAATTAAACATGCAATTATGAATATTACTTAGTTTAAACTTGCAAAACAAAAGGAAGACAGTTCGTCATTGGTTTTCGTCAGTCGTTTTAGTACAAATTGATGATCTTCATAAAGTTTATGTTTTTGCTTTATTCCGTAATGCCTGCTGCGGTTGCTAGAAGGGGCAGTCATCAACGTCACATTTACAATAAACATGCAGAATCCTGGTTGAAGTCAGAGGGGTCAGCCTCAGCACTAAGCACTGCAGAAGTTCCCAGAAATGGCTTCTCTGCTCAAAAACCCGGCAG